TCATTATTGACAAATATGGCTGGAAATTGGAGTTTTTCAGCAACATTCTTTTGAAATTGACATCGAATTTCTATAAAATATTTCGAAAAGTTTAGGGAATATTAGGAACAGTCCATTTATGTATAGCCTTCAGTAAATAAATGCAGCTCGTAATTGGAAATGCCCGACGAGTAAGAGCAAGACTTCCATGTGGAATTCTACTGATGCCGGTGGAAAGGTGTACGGGCCGCAATTGCTTGAAAAATCAGTTCACGGTCTTCTGAAAATTCTATCTGGAAAGTGGGATAGCAGTCTTTATAGCAAGGGCTCATGAGTGGACCGCCGGAGTTCGATTCTCAGTAGGGACAAGATATTTTTGTGTAATCCACAGGGCCCAGAGCGGGGCAGGTGCCCAACCAACCTCCTGTCTAAGGGTATCGGTGGCTGTTTCCACGTGAAAAAAGCGGCAGGGCCTTGAAGCTGACCACTCAATTCCATCTAGCTCTGAACTCAAGAATGGTGGAGCTACACCTCCGTGACTCCTTGTCTTCAAGGACTGGTGCTTAATTAGTTACGCACAGGGACAAATTTATCTGTTTATTCGGTTTATTGTACAGATCAAAATTGATGAACATGTGAAATTGACAACATTTAATGGTGGTTCCACGTGACGAGTCATTAGCAAATCGATCCCATGGTTTAATTTCCCAATATTAAGGGTATCAACATCTCCACATACCTTGTTGTTTGTTTACTTTTTAAAAATGCTTACAAACTTTGCAAAGGAGCGTGAAAATAAGTGATGATGCTGAGGTGGAGACTGATCTGGGAACTGTAACTAAGTCCTGTGCTCGTCTACCTTAACCTTCACTTCAAAACATTCGACTAGTGCTGCCTGTGGTTCTGTATGGGTGTGAAACATGGTCTCTGACATTAAGGGAGGAACATAGACTGAGGGTGTTGAGAATATCTGGACCGAAGAGAGATGAAGTGACAGGAGGCTGGAGAAAACTGCATAATGAGGAGCCTCATAACTTGTACTCTTCTCCAAGCATAATTAGAATGACCAAGTCAAAGGGGATGGGATGGGCAGGCACGTAGCACGAATGGGGGCCGAGGTGGAGTGCATATAGGATATTGGTGGGGAAGCCAGAAGGAAACAGACCACTGGGAAGAGCAAGGCGTAGGCGGGTGGACAATAATGAAATGGATCTTAGAGAGATAGGATGGGGGGATTTGGATTGAATTGATCTGGTTCTGGATAGGGACCAGTGCAGGGCTCTTGTGAACACGGTAATGTATCTTCGGGTTTCATAAAATGCTAGGAAATTCTTGAGTAGCTGCAGAATTGGCTTCTCCTCAAGAAGGGCTCAGCTCCATATGTAAGTGTTGGGTCCTATTTAGGTCAAATCGCTCTGTCATACGCAACGGAAGGTCAGTGGCCCAGCCAGATAAATGCCTGTAGAACGAACTGTCCATCACAGTAGCAATAGCTTGCATTGTGCCATGTAACATTTGTTAAGATATTATAACATTCTCGAGGAAGAGGATGTCATTATGAAAGAAGCCTCTGTAAAGGAGGGGTCTTGGGGGGGGTGACGGTGGCGGTAACTCGGCACATAAAAGCAAAACCAAACTATTCCGAAAGTGGCTGTATTCTTTTGAGATACACGATACGGTCCAACGACAGTCTGTATCCTTCAAGTGCTCACTCACATACGTGAGGCATGCTTTATATTTTGGGGGGACAAATGTTTCCTTTGAATCCGAAGCAACTAGGGGGAATAATGGCGTCCTATAGGTCTATTATTGTTTACACAATTTTCGGTTCCTTCTCATTTCATAATGGTCACTTGAAAAGCAAACAGTTCAAATCAAGGAGGAATTCTGTGCAGCTGTTCTCTGGTTACTACGTAGGCATTGGTCCTGTGTTCACAGCCAGACGACGGTCATATGTTCCCCTTAAACAGTTTCTGGTACCACAACACGACTTGTACTATACACTTGCTCTCTGCTGATGGAAAACGGTACTGCCTCTTAGCAGAATGATCGAAACCTTTCGAGACAGACTTAATTGCTTAATATTGTGTGGGAGTTGGGGGAACGAGGTAGCGTAGGTGGTTGAGGCACTATGCTGCAAGCCGGTAGTTCGCGGTTTCGAGTCCCCATCATGTCATAAATTTTTTTTTTTCAATTGACCTAATCCTTCCAGCCGCACTATGGTCCTGGGATTGACTCAGCCTCTAACAGAAATGAGTACGGGAACCTTCCTGGGAGATAAAGGGCGGCGGGCGCGTAAGGCTGACAACCTCACCGCCATCTGTGAGCTGATTGCCTAGAAAATGTGGGAACCTCAACATCTCAGAAACCTATGGGCCTGCAGAGCCTGTTACAGGGCTTGCTTTGCCTCGACCTTTAAGTGGAAGTTGAGATGGCGGTCATGTTCATGTTGTTGCAACATGTGCTTTTGGCTGATATTACCGACGTTTCAGTGTTACGTGCTACCGACATTTTCAGGGATTAAATGTGAGGAATGATTAGTTGCTGTGTATGTACAGAATGTCCCAGAAGAAAAGGTCATTATTCTGGGAGGTCATAGTATCGGTCATTCTAAGCAAAAAATAAGCTTATATATACATGTGTCCTATTTCGAACGGTTTCCGAGATAGGGCTATTTCACTGTATATTACAGTGTACACTGTACAGACGAGCAACACGCCATGTCCTCGCACGAGTTGCAAAGTGCATTGATGTTGACGGTGGAAATTCCGAAAATGTATTATACTGGGTAAACTGAACCAACTTTATCACTTGAACAGTAAATACCGGTATTAGAACAGTACGTAATATCTCTTTCTTGACAATAATTCTGCAAATGTACAGTGAAATAGCTCCATCTCGCAAACCGTTCGGAATAGAATATACACAACGTGTCCAGGTTCTGTTAGGACTATGTTCATTAAAAATACAAGACGTAAATTTCTTTTCAAAATTTCACCTTTTTATTCAAAATAGTCTCCTTCTGAATCAATACATAGCTGGAATCGATTGAAAAGTTTTCGTAAACAGTCACTGTACTCCTTTTGTGGAATCGCATTTAAAACTGCGGTAGAAAACTGGATGTTCTGGATGGTGTCGTGACGGTCTCCTTTCATCGCCACCTTAACTTTTGGGAACCAGAAATCTGCTGGAGCCAAATTTGGCGAATACGGAGGATGATCAAGGACTGTGATCCCTTTTCTGGCCAAAAATCTTCGATTTGTGGGGTGGGGCATTGTCATGAAGGAGCGACCAGGAACCTTGCTCTCGATATTCAGGTCGAATTCGAAGAATTCTCAACCACAAACGATTGAGGACTCCGAGATAATAATCAGAATTCACTGTTTGACCTTCTGGCAGAAATTCCTTGTGAATGATTCATTTGGAATCGAAGAAAACGGTTAGCAGTGTCTTTACTCGACTCGTTTGCATGCGCACTTTCTTTGGTTTCGGCTTCTTTGGGCTCAACCACGCTGTACCTGCGCTTTGTGAGAGGCTCATATTGAAAACACCGTGTCTCGTCACCAGTAACAATCGATTTTGTATCACTTTGGGCCTACCGTAACATGTCTTTGCAGTGTTCCACTGTGGCATGTTTTTCATCGCCTGACAGGGCGTGCGGTACAAACCGCGCACAGACCTCACATTTGCCCAAGTCCCCACTCAAAATTTGATGCACAGTACGTTTTATATTCCCAAAAGCTCCTCGATTCGTTTTGCAGAAACTCATCTGTCTGATGCAAGGATTTCGGTAACTTTTTAGCATTTTCTTCAGTGCGACTTGTTCTCGGCTTTGATGCACGTGGAGCGTCTTCAATGTCCTCCCTGCCGTCACGAAATACAGCATACCATCGAAAAATGTTCGAAGGACTCAAACAATCACTACCGTACACACTTTTCATCACTTCGTACTCTTCTCCGGCTGTTCTGTCTAACTTCAAACAAATTTTGATGTTGGCTCTCTATTCAACCGCCATTTTCCGACGAGCATCAGAACAGTACTGTTACATTCAAGGTCAGAACACATGATGCAGCGATGCTTGCGTTTTGAAATTATAGACAGCCACAGCTGACACTTCAAGAATCTTAATGCCACAACTCGCCAACAGATGGCATTGCAGGGCAAGTTAAAAAAAAAAGAGTCCTAACGGATCCTGGACACACCTGTATGTAGAAGTATACATTTTTTTGCTTAGAATGATCAATAACGTGACCTCGAAAAATACTAAACTTCTTTTTCTAGAACATCCTGTTTAGTGGTCGAGTGTGTATATGTTTATATATATGAAGTTAGACACAGTGTAAAATGGAAGTTACAACTGGCTGGTAAACACTAAAAATAAATTCTACCAAAATTTTATAACGTAAGCTCTCCAGTAATGAAATCCCTTCAGCAGTTTCAACACGCGGAGGGACCAGAGTGACTTCCACCTTATGCGTCACTTTAACTCAGCTTGTGCAAAGAGAACATGTAAATCCTTGTCTTGCGAGCAGTAGAACAAGCCAACGAAGCGGATCTATTACTGAGTAGATTCTAGAGAGTCCTAACTCTGGTGTGCAATAAGGGAATTGCTGTGTTTGGGGACTTTTTCCAAAAACTCGGCAATTCTGTGAAATCTATTAATAGTTTGATGAAATATCAGATGTAAAGTAAATTTGATTAACCAGTATGCCATAAAGGTGTATGGGGAAGTTAAGGTACATCTCGATGTATCCTTAATCTCGGCACTAGATGGAGGAAAGAGGTGAGCTTCTTGTTGCGGCCGTTTTTACCCTCGATACACATCCAATAGTAATTTTTATGGGCCTCAGAGTCGGTCAGAAAAGTGTTAAGATAAAAATATCTTGTTTCTAACGCCAAGAGAACGTTTTCAGCCTAGTTGTTATGCTGACTGCTATTCAGGCTCCAAAACTAAAAACCGAATGCTGGATTTCTTGTTCCGACTGCCAGTGAGTTATAGTGCAATAAATATAGTACTTACATTGTGCAGTTTGTAGTATAGACCGCATGCGTTGCAAACCGGCTCTCCATTTTGGTTCCGGCGCCATAGCGTCGTGGTCGTCGTCTTGCAGTTGGCGCAACTGGTGCCCGCCCGCCTCGCCGCCGACTGCAACGACAGTTGAGCCAACATTCCCGATATTACACCAGTAAACACTAGACAACCACGTACGCTACTCTAAACTACTCGACTATAATATCAACATGAATAAGGACAGCGCACTATCCTGCAACAGAGAGAAGGTGAGGCAAGTACTGTATGATACTAGGACGCTTTCTACCCTTGCAGCTGCTAGAGTGAAACTCACTCCTTCACTAATGAACAGTAAAATGGCCAATGTTATATGCACACTTGCCTCGTGATCTCTTTGTTCGAAGATTACTGTACATACACAGAGAATTTTGGGACGTATATACATAAACTAGTAGTAGATGGGACCTGTAACAGATGTTTTGAAAATGCGGCACAGTTCAAATATTTGGGAACGATTATAAGGAATCAAAACATGACTTAAAAAGAAATTAATAGGAAAGTGAACTCGGGTAATGCTCGCTACCATTCAGTCCAGAGCCTTTTGTCTTCTCGTTTGCTTTCTAAACAAATAAAAATTAGAATATACAAAATTATAATTTTGACTGTGATTCTGTGTGGGAGTGAAACTCGGTCTCTGACACTAATGGACGAACATGAACTGAGGGTGTTTGAGAACAGGGCGCTGAGTAGAATATTTGGACCGAAGAGAGATGAAGTGACAGGAGTTTGGAGAAAACTACATAATGAGGAGCTTCATAACTTGTACTCTTCTCCAAGTATAATTAGAATGATCAAGTCAAGGAGGAAGCGATGGGTAAGGCATGTAACACGAATGAGGGAGAAAAGGAATGCATGTAGGATATTGGTGGGAAAGCCGGAAGGAAGGAGACCACTGGGAAGACCAAGGAGTAGGTGTGTGGACAATATTAGAATAGATCTCAGAGAGATAGGATGGGATTGTAAGGACTGGATTTATCTGGTTCAGGATAGGGAGCAGTGGAGGGTTTTTGTGAACACTGTAATGAACCTTCGGATTCCTTAAAATGCTTAGAAATTCTTGATTGGCTGCACAACTGACGGCTTCTCAAGGAAGACTCAGCTCCATGAAGTTATTTGCTTAGTTTGAGCAGCTACTAAGAAATTTCCCTCGCTCATGAAGCCGAAACGTTCACTGTTTGTGAAGTCGATTTGAGAAGTTATTAGAAGCATCACAAAGGCATCCACTGTTAGGCAACGTCTTGTTAAAACATGTTTCCGCGGCGAATGAATAAAAACACAAGAGCGGATGTAATGTTGGGTGGGTTCTTCTATTCGGTTTACCTCACAATTTTATAAGTAAGAGCAAACTGGGCCCTGTTCGCAGACATTTTAGCCATCGTGAGCAGTACATGTGGAACAGACCACATGGAAGAGAATCAACAATAATGGGGGCTGTTACCTAGCAACGATTACGTGAAGACACAGCAGATTGGAGAGATGTGGAAGGTGGTAGTGTTCAGTGCAATGGGGATCCAGAATATTCGACAACAAATCCTAACCTCACCTCCTGACCGACACCAACTTGCGTCACATGAAGCGGTGAGTGAATCAAACCATGCAGTTCCCATTGGTGCAAGGAATATTACAAATATACAAGTATATATTACATAATTTACCTGATTTCATGCTGACTTCTTCTGTTGACAGGGCGTCAGGCTTCGTGTTTAATGTTATAAAAGCTTTAATACATAAATTTAAAGACGCTTATGTGGGTCGAATGATACGCTCTTGAAAGTGAATGAGATCGTTGTGCATTCTTTCTACATACTCAACTAATCGACGCGGTAAGTCACTCAGAATGAAGACCGTTGAACGTCAAGAAGAATAAGAATTTATTTTTTTGTGTAATCATTAAATGACGCTGTGAATGAGTCATTCGTTAGGCCGTGAAATTTCAAGTTGAAAACTATAATTTTTTTTTTTACATATTCTTTTCATGACTCAGCAAATGCCTCAAACGGCATGCTAAATATTATAAGCATAATTTGTATAAATTAATTATATAAAGACACCGACAGTTGCTGAGATTCTAGACCAATGAGCTGTAAGATACCTTATATATGATTTAATTAGTTTCGTGGCTAGAAGGTTGGACTTTGAGCCGTCCAACCTCAACATTAGTATTATAAAACGTTTCAAATATTCAATTAATAATGCGGTCTGTGGGTCAGAATATGGCAAATCTGACCGCAAGATACTCATTATAAATAATAAAAAGGTAAATTTGTCCCTGTGCTTAACTAACTACGCACTACGCCATGAACGCGTATGGAGGAGTGGATGTACAGACCCATGTGTTCTTGACCTCGGCACTAGTTGGAGGCCGGTAGTCAGCTTCACGACCGGGCCGCTTTACCCCCAGGAAAGGCGCCTCATCTACCCATTGGATAGGAGGCTGGGTGGGCCCCAGAGCCGGTCTGGACGACATGGTGAAGGAAAAATTCTTGCCCCTACCGGGACTCGAACTTCGACCCCTTGGTTGTGCAGCCGGTAGCCAGTCGATATACCGACTGAGCTATCCCGGCTCTTCTCATTATAAATAATACTGAGACATTATTTACATAAGACGTGATGAGTGGATCAGATGACAGACTGTAGATTTTTATACGTTTCTTCCATGGCGCAGTAACTACATTAAAGTATAAACCTCAGAATAGCATGGTGGATATAGTGTAATTATGATTTATATAAAGACGAGGTGAGTTTCTCAGATCATGCAACAGCGCTCGGTAAGATGACAATTATGTGTTTGTACAACATGTACGGTTTACTTAATTTCGTTGTCAGTGGGAGAGTCTGTAAGCCGTCCAAAGTCAACAATTTCGGGGGCGGTATTTTGTATATTCTGTTCCTCGAATTTTCTCTTCAAGACATAGCAGACTGGAAAAATTCGGAATGGGCTCGAATTCAGAGTAGTTAGCAGCCTGAACCTGGTGACGGTCACACACTCGTTACACGTTAAGAGGTAAGAGAATCAAATTAAAGAGTGTCA